CGCAAATATGCGATGTACATATATAACAAATACTATTGAAGTCGGTAAGGTTTGTATCCCTAAAAAAATATCCGAAGTATTCTCTTAAATCCACAATTGTAGCTCCAAATCTAAACAGTTACATACTTGTTCAATACATATGTATGCATGTGTGTAATAGATATACCATATACGAGGAAATAACGGAGTACTCGTATTTTAACTAGAAATTATAAGCGTCTGTACTCCTGCACCGTTACACACCTACAAAAGCATTCATATGGCCTTGCTAATCATTACGAGCACAGATTCATATGCTCCAAGCGCCAACCGTTAGGCCACCCAAATCCCGCACCACACCGCACCGCGTCGACCACCAATAATAAACTCATTAAATCCATTATCCTCGACCATGATTTGAGGTTAAAACAAAAGCGGATTTCACGCAGCCACTCAACGGCTACACAATACACGCGTGAATACGCATACGCGTTTCCACGTTTCGGAAGAATATCGCACATTTGTATGTATGTATGAAATGCTCATAGGCAAAATGGGTTTACAATTTTTTAGCCGCCGCCAGCACAATAGGTATGCACGCATATCCCATATATGCAAAACAAGGAGAATATGGCCGATTGAATTGACGGCGCAATGGATTACGTCCTTATTTGTTGTTCGTAGGCAAAAGTGCGTTTGGATGAACGGTCAGGGCTTTTGCATTTGTCTATGAAAGAGTGTAGGGGTGTGCGCGTGTATGCGTGCGCTGGAATTAGCGCGACTTAAGTGAAGAAAAATTACCATTATTTTCATAATGAGCGAATTATATGTGTGTAGTAGAAGCGGTATACATATGGGTACATGCAAATGTGTTTTTTTTTTGTGTTAACAATTTTCAGTATAAGCTTTTCCTTTGTGCATAATTGCAAGCAATTAAAATATTATAATATTATGATTTCTGAAAATAATTTATATACTCAAAATTATTATTAACTTTGAAGCTAGAGCTTTTAAAAACAAATATTTCAACAATTTACAAAACTTTGAAAAATACTTTTGCTCAATAACGCAGGAAAGCTGATAAAGCAGTACAAAATAAACAATAAATATAAGATAACAGCATTCATACAAACCGACCGATCAAAATCAAGTCCATGTATGGAAAACTTTTTTATTCGACGTGATATCTTCCCAAAAATTTGCGTAAGTTATTTTCCAAAGCAACGCTAGAATCTTCGAACAACTTGTTCACCTCGAAGCACTATAGGATATAGCTGCCATACAAACTGACCCATGCTATAAACGTAAAAATATCTCAATCGATAAATTATTCGCTCTCCAATAAAATCAAATTTGCATGATTAAAGCAAACTTTCTGCAAGCATACATAATTGTATATGGATGTTAAATTCCTAAAGATAATAGAATTATTTTCAATTGTACATACATAAGTACATATGTATGTTTATACTCGTACATATTGTATATGGAGTTCTTAGAAAAACAAAAAACAAAGAAATATAAATTAAAACCAAAATAAATCCACTCATATCTTAAATAGTGTACATCTCATAGCCTATAGTCTATTTGCAAACATATCCTGTTTCAAGTTATACGATAAATCCAAACTCCTTCCAAATCCACCATTCTATAATGTCATCTTTTCAATTTGTAGCCAGTGAAAAACAGATAACAAGAGCCAAATTAAATATATGTACGCTCCTTAAAGGCCTCAAACAGCCACCAGTCGATATTAAGTGGGCGTGGATTTATTAAACAGAAACTCAAAGTACAATCCGCAATCAGCAGAACGGGGATTTAATACTAGAGACAAGCGTACAGCATGTTATAATATAAAAATAATGAAGCTGTTGCCACAGAAGGACAGATAAATCAAAGAACGCCGCAACAACAACAGGCAATAATTGAAAGCCAGAAAAAGTAAATCGCATCGGCTCGGTATCAGCTCAAGACAATTTGAAATGAAACTCATACTTAAATGCACAGATACACACATACACTCGCAGATACGCACGTTCGTCTTTAACTTAAGCCGCTGCAATGAAGTCGGCACGCGTCTAGCTGTCAATAAAAAAATTGTACGAAGCAATTGTGAGGGGGTGGTTTAGCAGTGGTTTATCGCTAGCCGTTGCAATTGACTGTGCATGTATTTTTGCCGGAAAGACGTGGCTTTAACGGCAATACGCCGCCGATAAGTTTACTTCGATTCTGTTTTTTTAATATTTTTTTTTGTTGTAATACCTTTTTTGTTGTAATATCTTTTTTGTTGTTTAGCTTGTGGGCGCTGAGCAGTTGTCACAGCATTTATGTATGCGTGAACAACGTTTCGCTGATAAGGTCATTAAGGTGATATGGGTGGGGTGGGCGTTTACAGCTAAGCAGCGCTAATGTGAGAGCTAGATATTCCATTAAGCGTAATGTTTTTTTCTCTCAAAAGAGTATTAATTTTTTACTGGGCTCTGGGGATAACTAAAGAGATTTGGCATAAATGTGATGTAATAATCGCGTAGCATTATTTTCGATGCGCCTATGGTAATAGATTTATTTAATTTGATTATTTCTATAATTTACTGTGCTCGCATGTTCGCGCAATCAATGTGAAAATTTGTAATAATAAAAGTAGAACGCATTTTGAGAATGATTTTTGAAAAATATATGTCTGAAATCTTTTTACATTTTTAGCATTATTTTTGATACGCATTTTTTACAAAATATTATTGCGCATTTTATTATAAATTACGCATTTGTTTTAAAAATTCAAAATTTTCCATATATTTTATTTTTATATGTAGGCATAATCGTTTGTAAATATATGCTTCAATTTTGTAACTAACCGAAATACTTTTGATATTTTTTTACGATTTTGTAACAAAATCAGATTAGTCGCAAGATATTCGCTGCCGTTAAAAGTTGTTTTAATTTTTTTTTCAATTTTCTGCGCAAAATCTTCTTCTTTGCTTAAGATCGTTCAATTTATGTGCCCACTGTTTAATCACAATCGCTGTAACAATTCGCATGTACTACAAAGTCACCAACAAAAAACATCTCACAATCACTTTATCACTAAAAAGAAAGTTAAAATGAAATAAAATGATTACATGCAAAGAAGTGCAAAGCATTTAGTGTAAAAAAATCTAATTAGTGTTATGCAACGAAACGCCGTTGTTTGGCTCTCTATTTCGAAATTTCCAAGCAACTGCCTTATACGTTGACAAAATGCTAGAAATCGCTGCTTTAAAAATCGACGATGCCAAAGGAGCGCACGACCTATGGCAGGCTTGCAAAAATACAGGTAGGAGTGCATTATTTAAAAGCGAAGCGTTGATAGTCTGAATTTTTTTTTTTTGTAAATAATCTCTGCAACAGAGGTTGAACAGAAGTTAATTGTTTGAAAATTCAGAGTTCGTTGGAAGCATACATAAAAATGTAGCATACTTGTATAATCCCGAATTCTTAAATTTGTGAAACAAATTATTTTCCGTTTTAACCAAATATTAAATTATATACACAACAACAAAAAATATGTAAATAACAAAAAATTTAATAATTATTTACAATATTATTCGACGATTTATTTATTTAAATTTTTGTTACATACATATACATATTATTTTATATTAGACATTTGGAAGAAAATACCGAACTCAGAATTCGAAAAATCCCAAAAACATCTAGGACTAGACTTGGGATCGCGGCACCAATATATTATAATTCCCGAAACTAAATATCGAAAAATCCCGAAAACATTCGGGACTAGAATCGGGATCCCATCACAATATATTATAATTCTCTCATTATCATTACTATAATACTATTTTCAGAATATTGTTTATTTTTATTCAAAAAATTGGAAATTATTTATGCAAATGCCAAAGTTATATTTGTATGTACTTATATTATATATGTACAATTATTCTACATATGGTATGTACCATATAAGTATGTTTTAATTTCATATAACACAGCTACCAAAGCTATTGCATATTAATACCAATTGAAGGAAAACGTCGAAATAAAATTTCGGAAAATCCCAAGTACATCCGGGATTATATTCGTGATTAATTTCGGGATCCCGACACAATGTTTCATATTTCTCTCAAAATAATTATTTTTATCCGTCGTATCACATTTACATTATTTTGCAATTGACAAATTTTTATTTCCAATATTGGTTGTTAAATGTCAAATGAAATTTTCATTGAAGGTTGTTAATAGCAACAACCTTGTAAATATGTTATATAGTAAATATTTTAAGCACAAATTTATTTAAGTGCGTATTTAGAATATATTTAGGATTGATACGAAGTGAAATATTTATAAAATTAGTCTTGAAGAAGTAAATCGACGTTTTATTATAAATACTTAATTACTTTTTCAGCGAATGTATTTGCTCATTGCAGCAAATGCTTCTGAAGTTAGTTCTCAAATTAGTATATTATATATATGTACATAAACATTATATAATTGTCGCATGCACACTTATATAATAATTGGCTGAGGCATTTCTACTGCTTGTAACGCGCTTATTTATCTTGCACAAAAAATGAAACGTTCTTCTAGTGAAAAAAATTACAAACATTTAGTTAAAATTTGAGAGTTATTAATGACTGCTTTGCAGCTAAAATGTATACATTCAATTTATCTAAATGTAGCGTAATATCTAAAATGAAATAAAATCTGCATAAACCTTCAGAATTATCATAAATATACACAATATATGTAATATTTGTAAGTATCATATAAGCTCTTGCCCAAACTGTCAGCCGTCAGAGCTCAGACACTGTACTTTGGGATTACATATCAGTGTTTTTTACCTACTAAAGAAGATCAAAACAGAAATGAGCTCAACATATCGTAAGAAAGCTTTTGTTTATTCAATCAAATTTTTTTTTCGTATATTTTTCCAATAGTGAATTACATAGCTTTTCGTTGTAAACTTTTGCAAATTCTTGAAACATTTTTCGTTCTAAAACATCTCCTTTCACCATTTCTACTTACAGCGAAATCGCTACCGTTGCATTGTGTCGTCGAATCAGTGCATTCATTGCAGGCCTCACTCGCCATCGATTCGCGTAGTCCATGGAAGCGGCGTACGAATATCGAGACAGACAGTTATGTGATTATGGCCGCGGCAACGCCCTGGTCGGAACTGGTGCAAACTGCGCTACAACGACTGGGCTACTCACAGGAGGCGGTAAACACGGCTAGAGGTAAGTGTGTACTAATTAGTGATATTGGCATTTGAATATTAAAGATCTTTATATAATTCATGTCTGCTTATATAATTTTGCAAATTTTTTTATTACTTTTTATGCACAGGTTCTATTATGATAAAAAACTGGAAACCCATACCATTGGAAATGATCTCCGATAATCCAGTTGTGCCCGTCAGTGATATTATCGGCGAGTTGACTTCGGTTATTACACTTCGTATAGTCATTTTGCGTTCCAAACCGTCAACATTTGGTGAAATTAAGGATAAATTATTGAAACTGCTCGTTCTGCAATCGCATACAGTATTGCGTTCCACCGGTTGTCCGCTTGATGAGGTGAGTGTGCAATGAATTTTAGTAGCTTAGCTAGCTTTTTAAATTGAGTAAAAAAATAATTTCTATGCTTTCGATTTTAAAAATACTTTAATATTTGCTATTTTACGCACTTGACTAAATATTTTCAATAATAGCTCAGGGATTACTTTTTTTGAAGCTTTCAAATATAAAGTCGATTAAAAAAATGTTTAAGTTTACCACTCAAGATATTTTTTTAAGCAATTATACATACATATATTACAAAACAAAATCTCAATGTTTTTATGAGTTTTTCGCAAAATTATTATACGAATCAAATTTTTCATAAAAGTAAAACTTTACACTTAAGTGATCTCATTTCCACAATCAGCACATATGTATATAGCACACATTTTCTAGTAACCAATAGTAATACTGCACATCACTATCACTTCAAAATGTGTAGCTGTAAACTTTAATTAGCATTTCTTCACATATTCACTTTGAACTTAAGAAATGTGCGCCAAAATCGGTTTATCGCCAACAAAGAAACTAACAAAATGGGTATTTAAGTATTTTATGTCACTAATCGGTTTATTGTCTAAAAGCTTTTTGCGTAAAAGTATACCCGCCTACATACCTGTGAAAATCACCCACCCTACAATCTAAAGCAATAAAAACAGTTTCAGCGTTTTATGTCATATCCTGTGCTTAGTCATATATATACCTGCTTTTATATAGTGTTTAACTCTATGTATATATAATTTATATGAAGTTAATCCGCATTTGAATCAATTTATGTTTGTAAAGTAACGGTAATTTGTAGCATTTTACATTGAGTGTAAAGTTACATTGTCTTCCCACGCTGCTTACATAAAGGCAACCCTCATGTAATTAGCGCCCAATAACTCTTTCATCTTCGAGATAGATTAGGTAACCCTAGCAATGCGGAGATCTAACCGCGCTTAGGCGGTAGTCGTCAGAAGATTATTTGGAAAATATGCTTACTACATACACATGTATGTACATATGATATTGTCTGTATGTACATGTGAGATATATTATTATTACTGTGCAAATTATTAAAATCTTCCTAATTATATAAGTACATAATTTACGTACATATATAGAAATATTTTGTATACCTGTTATAAAAAAGAGGTGAAAATTACTCAATTTTCATGTTACAATTAGTAACAATCAACAGTATGTCATTTCAAACCCAATTTCATTGTTATCTAATTCCAAACCTAACCTCAATTTTGGTGCACAGCAAAATATTGTGAAAAATGGTACATGTATTTAAAGTTATGTGTACTACAGCTACGCCACCTTTTGCTTAAAGCTTTCCAACAAAACTTCAATTATATAACATCCATAGGTGGGTAGTCACAACTTTTGGAATCACTTCTTTCGATTATTATACCCTAAAGTTTGTCACGATAATTGTAATACCCTAAAGGAAACATCTAAGACCCTACAAAATATATACATAAACAAACGATCAGCATGATGGGCTGTGTCGATTTAGTCATATTTGTCTGTATATTTGTTGATCTGTCCGCCTGCGTATACGCGAACCAATCTATCAGTTTTTGATATATCGCTTTGAGATTTTGAACAATTTTTTTTTCACCAAGAAGCTGTTCGTTTGTCGGAACTGCCGATATGGGATCAATATAGGATATCTTCCATAAAAACTGATTTCTTTTTATGCAAAATTATTTTATTTGATAATATATCTGCACGTCCAGGATTATTTTCCAAGGGATCGATACAATCGCAATTGTAAATTGTTCAGATTAGATCACTACTGTATATAGCTGCCATACAAAAAAGTTAAACTTCCTTACTAAGTAACCTTAATTCAACATGAACCAACGTGGCTAGTAAGTACTAGCAAAATATTTTCCGTTGTTTCTTTAGTTATACATATAGCTGCTATAATAAATGCACCTGTGAAGGGTATTATAGCTACGTTGCAGCCGAAGTTAACGTATTTCTTGTTTTTAAAGAAAATAAACTTTTAAAAATTGTTTTCAAATACAATTCAGCTTGTTTATTACCTATAAATATCCAATAATAGCCTTCATGGAAATTAATTTTCGCTAAGCTGTATCGTTATCTTATTCATACAGCTATTCTTATATACTCGTACATACATATGTATCTATCTATGTGCACAAATATTTGACTCATACAAATATTTCCTAAAATTGTCATTTGACTCATAGCAAATATTTGCGATTACAAGCTTAACGCATGATAAATCAAGTGAAATTCGTTGCTCAGGTGAAGTTATAGCAGTACGAGCGTATTCGATTTATACCGCTAAAAGCACTCGTTTTGCTTCGTTCTGATTATATGTTATTGATAAGTGAATCAGTGTTTTTCTATTTCTGTCAACTTAACTATTTTATATTACTTGCTTACAACAAAAGTATAGTATAACTACTGTATGTATGTATATAATAAGCGAAGCGCTAATCATGTGATAAAGAAAACAATAAATCTTTTTGTGAAATACCTTTGTTTTTGTACATTTCATTAATTTGGATTTATTGCTATTTATAAATGTATTATCTTATTGTTTTGAAATGAATCTGAAATGGCAAGTTGACTAGAAAAATTAATGAGTTTGGTAAGGAACAATAATGATAGTAAACTCTAGTTTACTATTTTGAGTACCCATTGGAGTTTTTATGAAACTTTGAGTATTTTTGGCTTTGCTTTGGAGTGTTTAGGAAATTCTGAGGACTTTTTAACTTTTCAATTTATACGATTTATTTATAAGATGTTAATCTAGTATAAAAGAGGCAACAGTGCGGCCGAATTTTTAACAGTTAGTCCAGTTTATTCAAAATGTGTTGTGGAATTGATTTTTATCACGAAAACACCAAAATAATGGTGATATAGATGAGTTATATTTTCTTTGCTACACTCCGTGTTTGTGCGTATTATTATTAGTGATTAATATCAAAATTTGCATTAAACTCGAATTTGTGACGCAAAGTGGACAAGCTCTAAATTACACATGTAAATAATTATTATGATTTTTTATAAATACAAGGTGCGTCCTAAAAATAACCGAACTTTTTGGTTATTAAATAAAATGCCATAATGTGCTTTGAAAAGAACGTCAAAGATTTTAAAATTATTCGTTTTTTGACTGAGATCATTTACTTCATACATTTTAAGTCTTACGAGGTACATATAACGACTTAATCACCGGCTTAGCAAACCGTTAAAGTTGCTCCAAATACAAATGAAATTCTGAGAGCGTAAACAAAAATGAATACGTCATTTCGCCGTATCGTTATCTTACTAGGCCTAAATGGCTGGGATATCGTCCCAGCTCCCTTCATGTTGGTTTTCAGTTTTAGAAATAGTCACCGGGTGATATATCAGACAAATACAAAGGATGGTTGATGAGAAGACTCCGTTTTTTTACCGAAAAACTTGTTCACTTTTTCGGCCTTCATTTAACTCATGTGAAACAAAACACGCACACACACCTTTCTTCGAATCTGCAGTCAAAATTCTCCAAATAGTGTTTTTAGTAGTTTTTAATTCCTCAGCAAACGTTCTCGTAGTAAAATTAACATTGTTACCAATAATTTTACAGACTTTTTCCATCAATTCTGCATGCGAATTACCAGCTCGTCGTTATTTAAATCCTCACAACCCTTTTTAAATCGTGTAAGCCACGAATGAACTTGAGTACGACTCATACAACTATCACCATCAAATTGTTTCATAGCGGACCACTATAGTACCTATATAGCTGCTATACAAGCTGAACAATCAGAACCAAGTTCTTGTAAGGAGCTTTTATATTTGTGAAGGATACTATAGCTTCGGTGCAACCGATGTTAACAAATTAACTTGTTACTACTGAATGTAGCTATTTAATACTAGAATTTTGAATAATTAACGAAGCATGTCGTTTAACTTGAATATAAAGTTGGGTTATTTTTCGGACACAGCTTGTACTGTTTTTTTTTTTATACATCAGTACACATGAGTGTTTATCTAATTATTTATCTAAGTTTTTCTATATGCATGTTTTGATTTGTTATAGCTCGATTCGATTACAAAACTAAACATTGGCATGCATTGTTGTAAATATCGTGCATCAGCATGCCTTTATGTGGGTTTTATGCGTTATCAGGTATTAATTTTTACCGTTAAGCCTACAACTAAATCAAAATAACTTAAGTAAGTGATCATGCAATTTATTGCACATAAGCGTCAGCAGCAAAATCACCAATGGTAAAGCTAGTGGCACACAACAAAAAATAAATAAATAAAATAAAAAAAATTTCATACTTATACATTCATAGGTACATGCATAACTACAAACTGTTCTGCGTAATGCCAAATGTAGCTTAAGTGATTAGAGTGTCTTCTTTAGCTGATAGTGGTAACCGATATCGCGCCAGGCATTACCCAATGCAATAACCTTTACAAAGTATGGGTTATGTAAAGTATTTTGTATGTGCGGTAGTTGTCAGCAAGCAAACAAATGTATGCATAAGCATGTATGTGTATTTGTAATTCTATTTTTGCTTATATTTATCTTATGAGCTTAAAAAATGCTGTTCTTGTCTATACCTCGCAATCAAAAAAATAATCATATTTTGTTTATAGTTAACGGCAATCTGGTGCGATTGTGTTAAATGTTATTGTTTTTGTTGACTTAACGCTAATGCCACTAGTCACACGCGCGCACACCAACGATGGTCAAAATGTATGGTGCAAGCCAAGTGCCAATTATCTTTGGGCCAAAGCAGTAATCACTTATATAAATATATAAATATATACATATGTATATATATATGTGTACATACATGTGTACAAACGTTTGCTGATATGAGCTGTCACCGTAATGAATAACAATTTGAAATTTGAAGTGATTTAACGTCTTGCAATCACGCCAACCCATTTATGAGCTAAACGAATCCCACAGCACTCGAAAGGCCTACAATATAGTGTCGTGATTTTTATGGCGTACACTTAGCAGGTGACAGAAGTGGGTTGGAAAATTTATGTTTACTATGTTAAAGCGCTTTATACCATACCACACACATGTGCATGTTCAGAGTTGGGTACAAACGAACGCACACATTGCGTTGAGTTCGGTTATTAGTAGGAGGATTAATAAGGTTTGAATTTCGTTGGCTGGTTGATTGCATTACCACTTGCTCGAAATCGCATACATATACATATGTAATACATACAAGCTCCACATCTACTCCTGTGTAAATTTCTAGTGGGCTATGCAATTGTTCAATCGCTCAACTGTTTTCTGTTGTCTGTTGGCTAATAACATTGCATTGTTGTTGCTTGGGTTTCAGCAGAGCATTAACTTGTGTTATTGGAAAAACGGTCTAGTCAAGTGCACTCATTGCAAACGTTAATATTTATTGGCCTGATTGTGTACTTATGGGCTAAAAAATGGAGCCATTGAGGATTATGGTTGGGAAATTTTGGGCATCAGCAGTCATGGGATTCATTAGATCATGTGTGCAGTTTATAATAATAATTTCGTTAAAAAGTTAGCTCGTCATTAAATTTAAAGTCAACATACTTAAAAGGAAAGAACGAAAAGTAGTATCAATGGAAATAAAGATAACTTACTTTATTACCTTTTTAGTCTGATCGATTCAGTTTCAGCTTCTATATCTAACCACAAATCAATAAATACAACCAAGGCCTATACATTTTCTTTAGAAAAATTTAAAATTTTATATTTTGAGTTAACATTTTTGACTCCCCGAACAATGAATTTAAAATCAGTTTTAAGAGTGCAATACACACAAGCGCAGGTATTTCCCTTTAAGGTGTTATATCCACTTGTGCAATTAAAAAAAAATCGATTTTTTTTGCTTATAAAGCAAAATAAGCTCCGAGTATTTGAAGTGAATCAAAGGAAAATTGTTTCAGAGATATAAGCGTATTTGTAACAATTTCTTAACATAATTTAATCAGCTCCCAAAATCTTCAACGTATTTTTTTTGACACGACCGAGAAGCCGACTCTTAAGGCGAGAAAAGTTTCTCTGAATCGGATAAACCGATCAGCTTGAAATTTTCACATGATCTCTTTAGATATATTTCTCAGTTGATGATCGAAGAAATAAGATTTTCAGAATAATTTCCATATTTATAGCTACTCTTTATTTGGGTAGCAACCATTGGACCATTACCGGTACACATATATTGTAATAATATTTTTTTGGATTTTTGGATTTGAGATATGTTTAAGTAGAAGAATATTCTCACCGTCACGGCTACAGGATCAAGGGAATTCAAAATTCTTCAAAATGAATCGCAGATTATTAATGTACATTAAACTTGGTAAATGTATATAAAAACAGTTCCCGTTCGAAAAAGAATCATTCCTTAATATCTTTAATAATCGCTTAAGTACCATAACAGAGCATTAGAACGTTTTTACATCATTATTATTCATAAAGCGAAATCTTCATCAAAATTATTCTTTTAACTTAACCTTACTAATAAAAAGTAAATATCCCAACTCTTCAGTATACTCCTCTTAATTTTCTTCAAATCAAACAAATATTAAATATTATGTATTTTCTGCCTGTTTTCGCCAACAGATGACGCTCTCACAAATATGCCGAACTTCTTACCAGAATCCGTATTCCTTTCCCGCCGGTGAGATTTCCGATGAGCTACGCCGCAAGTTCGACCAATGGTGGTCGCAACAACTCACGCCACAATCTAGTATTACACCAAAAATGTTACCGTTCCTAACAGCGCCGTCATCAGTGCCCAACGAAATGGACTTCCCCGTAGGTTCAGCGGCCGTTGCCGCTGCCGCTGCTGCTGCTGCAGCTGCACAAGCTGGCTTACATGCTGCCACCGGTGTGGGCAATGTGCCGGGCAGTAATATACCTGGCCTAAATGCCAGTCGTGATTCGTTACTCATGAATGATGCAACACACCATGGTCCACAAGGTGCGACTGCAGCGCATCATCCCAATATGTTGGTACATCCGGCCATGCATCCTTCGATGCATCATCATCATCACCACCCACACTCACAGTATCCAAATCAAAAAACACGCATGCGCACCAGTTTTGATCCAGAAATGGAATTACCAAAATTGCAGAAATGGTTTCAAGAGAATCCACATCCTTCGCGTCAGCAAATACAAACATATGTTGTGCAGTTAAATGCATTGGAGTCACGACGTGGTCGCAAGCCGCTGGACGTCAATAATGTCGTATATTGGTTTAAAAATGCTCGCGCCGCTCAGAAACGCGCTGAAATGCGTGGCGGCTTGGCAGCTCTTGGTCATCCCGGCTTGAATGGTTTTATGCTTAATCAACACGGTCAGTTGGGTCAAAGCTCGAGCAGCAGCGGTGGTAGTCAACAATTGAGTAGCAGTAATATCAATTTAGCCATGTCACATGACTACCTGAAAAGTCCGTTGAGCCTGAAATCGGAAGATGTGGACACAATGTCACAGCACTCGGATGACATGGATGAAGAGAACAGCCGACCCGGATCACCACAATTACCGCTCTCACTCACCACACATGAACGTAATCGCAATTCGCCGCTCGAGGGCGCTGAAGGCAATATGGAGTTGGGCGAAAGTCGTCGTGATAACTGTGGTGCTGAGGGTGCGTTTAAGGATGAAACCGATTGCCAAACAATGTTAAATGGTTCACTCAATCAGTCATTACGCTCATGTTCGCGCAGCTATACCGAAGAGGAGGCTCAAGCGCAAGCTAAACCGAATGAAGCACAAACCGATGACCAGCACGGTGAAAATTCTAATGAAAACACCACTAATGAACAGCAAAATGAACCAGAACACAATAATAGCAATAACAATAATAATGCAAACAACTTAAACAACAACAACATTAGTAGTAGCAATAACAATAATAGTACTAATAATAACAATGAGCAATCCTGTGATGCCGTTAATACACAACCGCAAGCACATTCCTCACCTAAAATGAGTTCACCCAAAGAGGAGGACGACGATCTCGATTTGGAAGATGATGACGATGACAACGAGAATGATGTCTCACAATTGGATGAATATCGTTCACTGTCACCTGATTTGGCTAATGCCATGGTACAACGTCAAGATCTGCCCTTTCCAATGGTGCCCAATTCGATGTTCTCGCAGTCATTCATGTATATGAGCCATTATATACCAGGCTTTGGTCAAGCAGCGGCTAATCATCCACATGCGCATCATGCCGCCGCTGCAGCAGCTGCTGCTGGGATGCCACCGAATGCGCTAATGAATCCGAGCGGTCTAAATTTGTCGAGTATGTCGAACGAGGAGCGTCGCAAGCGAAATCGTACTTTCATCGATCCAGTTACTGAAGTGCCGAAGCTAGAGCAATGGTTCGCATTGAATACACATCCATCACATAATCTGATACTGAAGTACACAGAGGATTTGAACACAATGCCCTATAGGTGAGTAGTAAAAACTATTAGAAACATTTTATTTATGATGTCTGTTGGAGAAAAGGGACAATCAATCATCCTTGTGTAGATAACAGGATAAATTTAAAATTAAAACTCAGGCGTACAGGCTGAAAGAGTATATTTCCCGGAATTCATTTGAGATACCATGATCCAACCTTAACGAAATGGATTAAAATGTATTAATTTGAATGTAAAAAATTAAATATTCACAAACTCAGCGAAGTACTTACTAGTTTTTAGTTGGGATACTTTGCTGAGCACGAAAAGACTATCAAAGGCCCAGTTAATATTGACAACACCTGGACGAAAAAAGCTCAGACTTTATTTCAAAATATTTTTAATATTAAAATGTATCTTAGAAATAAAAATCGATTATTCTTGAATGAATTTAGTAAAATTATAGAGCTCCTCACAGTTACAGACTCTTCTTTATTTGCAAATACATCATTTGCTACAATATACTTTATATATTCTAAATAAATTTCCCTTATAATCTTTTTTACAGACAAAAGTTCCCCCGCTTGGAAAGTAAAAATGTACAGTTTTGGTTTAAAAATCGTCGTGCCAAATGCAAACGCCTAAAGATGTCGCTCTACGACAGCTCTCAACTACAAGGTCTAAACTCCTTCGTCAGCAAATATGAGGAACGCGACTAAGTGAGAAAATTTTATATGTAAGGGAATGCGATAGACATGTATTAGAGAGAAATGTAAACAAAACGCGTCAATGAAAAAGCGGCAGGTTGGTGCAAACTATTTGGTTAGGTCAAAGCGTCAATGACCAGTGATAAAGGGACTGAATGTCGAACTAATATTTATACCTAGTAGTGGGCATATAGAGCCAATGAAGTATTGAATTGAATTTTACTAGTACTGCAGTTTGATGAACATAAATACAAATATGTAAGTGCATTATGGTGGTCCTTAAAGTAGAAATTAAGAGATTTTTCAATTTTTACTTTCCTTTCTAAAAGTTTTAATTTAATTAAATATAAATAGAATTTGCATAAGAAAATTTCGGAATTTTTTCAAACATTTAAAGACCGCCCTAATGTGCATATATATTATTATATATATAGTTTACATCAGTTGAAAGTTATTTCTTATGCGATTTAGTAAAAATTTCTAATCAAGTCAAGGCGTTGCTATTACAAATCAATAAGTACATATGTTCCTTTTACGAACCACCTTTTTAAACGGGCAATATGTACACTGCAAGGAGCTGATATCCTGTAAATATAGTCCCACTAAAATTTTCATGCATGTTCTTTATAAATTATTTGCATTATTCTAGGAATGTTTGTATGTATATGATAAAAATTGAAAATGACAAATAACTAATTATAATTTATGTAGACATTTTTAATAAAATAAAAACTAAAAACTAAAATTAAAAAAAAATTTAATATTTATAATTAAATATTTTGTGTAAAAATACAATTTTAGCATAAAAAAAATTAATTTTGGTTTTCTAATATATTTCAATTAAATCAGTTTGAATAGATATAGCTCTAGTTTAAAAAAGAACTTCACCAGTAACTTTAATGTACGATTTATTGATATATTAAACTACATAATTCTAATAAATATAGTTAAAAGATAGTGAAAACCAAAGATGGCATTTCTAAATAGCATATAGCAAATATAAAATATGCAAGAATAAAAAAAAATATATATAAGCATTAACATTATTTTTAAACTAGGCATAAGTATCGCAATTTTTTAATTATAGTAATCGTTTTTATTAAAAATTATGTTGAAAAATCTGCTGAATATAAAAAATACATACATTTGAAAATATTTGCAGAAAATACATAAAATCTGTATTAAGATTAAAAAAAAATATATATATATAATAATTTCATTTCAACGTCACTGCGACAATTAGCAATAAACATTCAGCTAAGTATTTGGTAATTTAAAACAAAAAACTATTTAAATGCATGAATGCACATATCGTTTATTTAAAAGAAATTAATTCTTAAAACTGCTTATATAATAAACTTGTTATATGAAAAGATATTTTGTTTGGTTATGTTTCAATATAATTTGTTTAAAAATTAATTTTGGGTATTTGATACCTTACAATAAGACATTTTTGAACCGTAGTATATGTTTAAAAATCGACATGGCGTGTAAACTGGTTTATGCAGTTATAAACTAAGTGCGAAATTTATAAAAATTTATATGTGAAAAAGACTCATACTTATTAAAATTCCACTCTCCATGATTATTTTCAATCCACTTAACTTTATGACGTTTTGAAAATTTTTGAAAAACTAACGAAGCACACAAAACTGAAGAAGGAGTGAAAAGTATTTGCTTCGTCGAAATGCACCAATACATCAACAATTTGCTTATTTTCTTAACTTTGAGTGAAATGTCGATTTAGTAAAATTTTTTAAATATTAAACATAATCGTTAATAGCTTTGAAGAAAAAAGTTTCGGAACGAAAATATCTAAAATTCGGCATCTATTGGAATATCTTTTAAAAATAAACAACTGGTATACATATATAAGTTATTTTTAAAGATACAGACAGCTAAAGCAAGAGAATAAATTCCAAACACAGAGAAACATAAATTCTTACAGCTGATAAAAGCCAGTTGCCAGTCAAAAGACAGCTATTGTAAACTTCAAAGTTCCAAAGCTAAAATCTATATGGTACATAGAAAACATACATGCAAATAAATGTAAGTATGTAACTATAAATGCTACTTATGCAAACAATTGCACCAAATAAATTAAGCAAAAACACACAATAATTAAAAAAAAACTAGAAATAAGCAAAATCACATAAACCAGTTAAAGAAAATTCTTCAGTTAAAAACTTTAAAAAAAGTTATTTTATTTAAAATTTGGATTAGTAAATAAAACTGTAATGTATTTAATACGAAAGTATGATAAATTATTTGTTTTCCTTTAGCTCTTAAGCGCACTGTAAAATAAAACTAAATGAACATAATATTTCAAATTTGTAAAATAAAAATACGATATTCGTCAATTTATTGCAAAAATCAAATTATTAAAACGAGAAATAAAAAATTTTAAATGTAAAATTGAAAATGCAAGTGTTTTAATTAATTTGGCATACCAAAATGGAAATAACAGCTGCAAAATATAGTATCACGTAAGCTTCAGCCAGAGACTGTTCATTAACATTCGCTGCTACAACAGTAAGTACCAACATCTGTAAACATGTAAAAATCAATTGAACTAACAGAATTTGTTGCTATTAACATAACTGACATTAAGAGAAAACGAGGGAATATGTGCGATAATCGGCAAGCACATGCTCGTGTTTTTAAAGGCTATGCAATAAAATTGCAAACTCAACATAAAAGTTAGTGATATTCAAAATAGTTTAAAGATTAAAATGAGAATAATTAAATTTTTGTTATAATTCATCTAAGTTAGTGTCAATAAAGTGATATACATAAATAAAATAAATGCGGCCTTTTCCAATCAAACTGCATTTTGCATGCGCATTCATTTAAAGTAAGTGTTCGCAAGTTAACGAAGGGCAAATTTTGACATTGGCGTTCGTTGATTCGGTCGTACATTTGTGCATTGAAATGTTAATGTTGAAATGTTTTAAGATAATCAGTGTAAGAAAAAATTGTGTGAGCAATCAAATACTTATAAAATACAATATATGAGGGAAAGTGAAATATGTGGAAAATTAATGAAAAAATAGTGTGAAATTAGTTTTAGGTGTCCTGGCGCATTATTTGTCGGCGTACAAGTGTCATACGGCTTGGAAGAAAATGTACAACACGGATATTTTTATTTGTGGTAAGTGAATAACAAAATTTAAAAGAAGCATGCGACTTCTTAAAAATTGGCCCTTCTATGGTGTTTACAGCACAATATTATAAAAATTTCGTAAGAAAAAATTTTTTCAATTTACTGCAATGAACAACAAAACCATAGTAGCGGGCATTTATGCTAAAAAATATATTTGTAGCGCTGTGAGTAATGCCTAAAAAGTAAGTGGCAGAGTACTATAAAATTTGATTAAATGTCGAGAAGTGCAGAATAAAAATTATAAAAAATTTTTCTGCCTAAAAGTAGATCAAGTTACAATAAAAATGCTGCGTTTCTTGGATTTCAATGCGGGAATTTTCATTATTAGCGTAAGCCTTTGGTGATCTTCCGTCCTTGCATGAACAAGGTTCTTATAAAATTCATCTTTTGGCCGGATTTGACTTTCCTCGAATTTTTGGATTGTAATTATGCAATTGTGGGCAATTCTGAGTTTTATGGTTTGCTAGATCAGGATAAATTCTCAGGATAACTTTGTATATAATTTAGAACAGCTTAAACAATTTAAAAGGCAAATTTGTGGGAATAATCTAATAGATGAAGTTAAACTCAAATGAAAATGTTGAAGTCTTCATTAAAGAATTTTGTGCAACCATCCACTTTTCAAAGCTACTAATCACAAAGGCTGTGCAACCAAACTATGCACATAAAAGGAAAACAAGCTGATCACCGATGCATCCTGCTTTTTGTTCGGCTCACATCATTATTATTCCAATTTTTATACTGAATGAATTTCACATAGTATAGTGAACGTTTTCAAGTTGGATCCACAAAACAACCGAGATATAGAAAAATTAAATAATTATTAGCAATTTTCTTATCAGTGTAACTAGATAAATATTTTTCTTTTCAATAGTTCGAATCAAGGTAATTCTCAAAAGGTTCTTATAAATGGTCAATATAATTTTTAGAGCAATGGCGAAGTCCTTTATAATTTATTAAAATGTTTGTCTAATCTACAAGTATTAGAAAACAAGAAAAAGGTTTTCACACAAGAACTTGATTTAGATCGGTCAGTTTGCATGGCAGCTGTATCCTATAGTGGTCTGATAACGGCGGTTCCGACCAATTAACTGTGTCTTGGAAAAAAAAGGTTGTGTGCAATATTTCAGATTATTTATCCAACGTTTCTTTCTGGGTGTTACAAATCGTTGGTGTAAATATGTAGAAAGCCAGGAAAGTGCATACTTTTATTAGCAATTTTATTGGTTCTTTATATCTAATGCTCTTTACTCATAAAAACTATTTCAAACATTTTTTGTGTCATACTTTATTCGCTCGTGTTGTGAGTCCATCTCCACAACTCAGAAGTCCTTTTTGGCTCATTGTAACTACAATATTAATAAGGCAACGTTAACAGATTTATATTCTATGAATATATAATGCCTCATAGCAATCAGCTAATAAATATTGTATGCCATTTATTCAAATTTAAGACGACTGTGCGCAGCTAAAAGCTAAGACGCATTTTTAATTTAAAAGTTTCGTGATAAAAAATTACCCAGAACAAAACATCGCGTTATCGCGTCGGGCAATATATCTACATACAGACATTTCTTGCTATAGTATTTTTGAGTTTGTGGCAAGGCTTGTTTCGAGGTGGGAGGGTGAGTTGAGCACCAAGCAGGGGCTAGTATAAGTACTCTTTTTAATGGCATCCACTGATTTAGGACATCTCCAAACCGCACCAGCCACAACGCCTGCAGTCATGCATATTCTTTTGCGCACATATACATGTGTGAATGTAATACATGTGAATGTGGTAACTGCAAATAACAAAACTCACACCATTTTTTTAACTTTGTTAAAAGACCACCAAACGAACATTGTATTCTTGTATTCGACAGATAACTCATATGCTCTGTTATACTCCTTAGATGCTGCAGACGGGCACGCACACATTTACATATATACATATAGTATGTTCATAACACCACATAAGAAAAGTAATTTAACATTTTTACGAATATTTATTTCCATTTCGCTTATCAGCACAAGAAAAAAAATCATCTCAAGCAGCAAGAACAACGGTAAACGGAAAGAGCACACATTTCATACTTTTGTAGGTAAATAAAAGTAATAAAGCAAAGCAAAAGTAATATAGTGAAACTCTTCATACATATCCTCACACCAAGCAAATTCCACAGTTGGCGGCATGAGTGGGTGGCTACGCGTGCAACTTGTTTCGCGGTGTGAAAAGCTGAATAAATAAACCATAAAGCATTCATGTGTGTGCCACTACACTGTTTCCGCTGGTGTGATTTCCGTTTTGCGAATGATGCACCCTTCGGGGTTAGTGCCGCTACTATATGAGTACGAGTATTTATTGTGGTGTTGTTGGCAATTACTACGGTTTTTTTTCTCTTGCCCATGTATTTACAAAATTTACCTCATTTGTTACAGAGGAACATTTCGTTTGTGCTCATAATTCATTGGCATCACACAATCGCCCTGAAAATGCTAATGTTCGTGTGTATTTTGCTTCATCTTATTATTCCTTTCTAGTCACTATCTTTTTATTTTGCATATACTGGGAACAGCATCAAATTCTTATAAATGTCTTACTGCGTGAGTGGAAATTATTATGCTTTTTATTTTACCTAACTGTCCCTTATCATATTCTCCGAGTCGCTATTTAACACATGTGTAAACATAAAAAATATTAGCAAATCTGTATGCAAGTGTATTATACTTTTTACTTATATAACATCAAATTAGTCATAAAAGTATTAAAGAATTTAGACAAATATACACACATATATGTACAATATGTTCAATATCTCAATGGGAGAAAGTTAAAGTCGGAAGCAATTCACCAAGGAATTTTTATTATAATAAATATTATAGAAAAGTTAACACAAAAAATTTCAAAAAACAATTTTTTACGATTTTAATGTCTAATCCATATTCAGCTAAACTTTGTATATTTTCCGTCCGTTAAGAATAAAATTCAGGGTGAAAGTTTCAACATCTAAAATTACCTGTTAGACAACTGAAAACTATACTTCTATGTTAAACACATTAATGTAAAATAACGTTAGTTGGTTTGACTGTCAAATTTTACGAATCTTAAAATGTTTGATCGCAAATACAATATTTTGCTTTTAGCTAAAAGTTTTTGTTAAATTTTGTAAAATTTTAATTTAATGGGGTAGAAACAATAAGTTCATAATGAAGGTATAGGGTGCAATAGACCACGAGAGTTAAGGGGTCACATGGGTTTCGTCGACGAAAAAACGCTCTCTTTTAAATAATTTTTCTTTTCATATAAAAATAAAATAAAAATAATAAAAATGTTCAAAACTCGATCATAACGACGTCATTTCCGGCAGTCTCTCGGAATAAAGGTGCATCCGCATTGACAGCAGAACTTCTGACGGGATTATCAAAAGTAAAAAGCAAAAACATATGTGTTTGAACTAAGTCCAATCACTAGGTTTTGAATGGAAAAAACACGAATAAAGTGAAAATTGTATTTTTGGCAGACGTTTAAAACGTTTAAAATGTTGGTAAAAATTTCTCAACGTTTTTTTGTTTTAAATAATTGTAAAGTATCATTAAGATCGGTTAAGCAGTTCGCGAGAAATCTTGACAACCGACTTTGAAAACATGGTTTCAAAACAAATGCGTTTAAAGTTTTCAGTGACTATATACCTGAATTCGAGCGCGCAACTTTTCAAAGCTGTGCTTCTAAAACTATTACTGGTATCAACTTGAGAATTTAGAACAATATTTTAGAAGTTTTATATAATTAAATAAGACAATTAATGAAAATTTTATTTTTTGAAACCGTGAAACCCGTGTAGCCCCTTATATTATATATATATATATATATATATATAAGGATAAATGATCAGCGTGACGAGCTGTGTCGATTTAGACATGTCCGTCTGTCTATATATACGCGTACTAGTCCTTCAGTTTACGCGATATCGATCTGAAATTTTGCTTACGTCTTTCTCTTCCCAAGAAGCTGCTCATTTGTCGGAACCGCCGATATCGGAGCACTAAAGCATACATGTAGCTGTCGTATAAACTGAGCAATCAAAGTCAAGTCCTTGTACGGAAACTCTTTTTATTTGATAAGATATCGTCACGAAATTTGGCATTGATTATTGCTTAGAACGGATCACTATAGCATATAGCTGCCATTTAACTGATCGGCCAAACTTAATTCCATGTGTGGTAAACTTTCTTATTTCACAAAATATCTTCAGGAAGTTCGGCATAAATTATTTTGG